TCGATATAGTTTTTTAATTGAAGGACAAAACTTTTGAATTATATTCGTTAAAAAATTTTGATTTTTTACTTTCCCTATAAACTTCAATGATGTTTTGTGATAAAAAGATATATAATTGATCTTTTTTCATTCCATAGTTTAACTCAATTCAATGGTTTTCTGTTAAAACAATGTTAAGAGAAAATAAAACAGTATTTGTTTTGTTTAAAACTTCGTCATTTAAAAGGTTCTATACCTAAGCTTAGGTACCTAACAGCCACATATTCACTTTTCCCATGTATATATATATATATATGGTTAGATTATAATGTGGATGACATCTATTGTGTGGATGTAGAGATGAATATGGACCAATGGTTTTGCTTATTTTAAGAAATTGATTTACCAATATTATTAATTTAAAGAAAATAAAATATATGTCATTTAATTAAAAAAAATGGTAATATTGTACATTTGCATTATCTTCAATTTAGGAAACATAAAATTTTATTGATGAAATTTTCGGAATTTAAGGGATATTTGGTACTTTTTATTTTGAATTCTTGATTTTTTTTTAATTAATTCAATTTTAATCCTAACGTTATTTTTAATTTTACCCGATTTTTATTCTTCCAGAATGACTTTCTAATAGAATGATATTCTATGAGAATGTTAGAATACAAATTTTGCAGAACAACATTGCATTTGAATAACATAGCATTTGAAAGGTTAAAATGTTAATGTAAAAGATATATTCTTGTAGAATCTAGTTACACTTTTATACGAATGAAAATAAAAGTATAATTATAAAGTGCAATACATCAAATGAATAAAAAAATCTTAAAAAAAAACATTCTTGCAATTCTTGAAGAATCCCCATCTGTTCTTAGTTTGTTTCCAGTATTTATGTAATGTACACGTAAAAAAGATTCATCTTTTAAATAATACCGTGTTATTGACCTGCAAGCAGAATAATAGGCATTCTGTGAGAATCTGGGAATTACATAAAACACGTGTTCTTAATATCATATTCTGTTAGAATGTAAAGCAAATTCTAGGTGAAATCCAAAAGATGTTAAATGTTTAAAGAGCAAATACTTTAAAATGAAATTTGATCAAATGTGATAACACCATTGACCACGATTTGCATTTGTTTTTATTATTTAAGAATAAAACACTTAACTTGTTGCTAATATTATATGCTTAGGCTTGAGTCGGTTGCTTCTATCCTAAAATCATCAATCTGAATTGAATTAGATTCTAAGTTCCATTAAGTACAGACTAATAAAGTAAGTGGAAACCAGAAGCAAGATAATTTGGTGAAAGACCACTAAACATAAGGTCATAAACTTAAGGAAAGAGGAGATATTGATGCAGATTACACCCATGAGAGTTCATCATTACATTCCTAAAGAATATTATTTGTAACATCACTGAAACAGAAAAATGAAACTTACAGCCCATTATATCTTGTAAGTTGTTAAATAAGAGCATCTTTCTTTTCTTCAGAACTGTCATTGGTAAAGGTAATAGCAATAACTCAATAAGGTTTTTACAATTACAAATATTTATAGTAGGTATCATCTAAATTTATAGGGAAATGCCAAATAGTGTTGTTAAAGTTCTTGGGCAAAAGAGGGAATATAATTCTACATGAGATAAAGAGAACTGAAGGTTTAATGTGTTTGACAAGCAATGAAATTGATAAGAGAACATCGGTGCCTGCTTCTTCAAGGATCTGATGAATGTAGTAAAGAAATCCAATGATGACAGAGAAGTAAACAAGAAATTGACAAAATAGTTTGGATTTAATTCTAAAACCCTAATTACAAGGTGAAAACTAGGGATATAAGATTGATTTTGTTACCTGTTGAAGTAATTGATGATCGACTCCAACAAACAATGTATTCTTGACTCTTGATTAAAAAATATCATACCAGTTTGCACCTTTGGTTATAGCTTCAGTCGGGTGAAGCATCAAGCATGATCGATCTGAATAAGTTCTGGTTCATGAGGTATTTAGGGTAAAGTGTAGTCTGGCTCACTAGGGCAGCGGCCTGAAAGGACTCAGTGGCTGTCGGCGTATCAGCACCTATAATTGACATTACATCACAATCTTGCAATTTCTTTGAAAACCCGAAGACAAAACCTATAAGAACAAACATTCAAAAGGAGGAGAAAAGAATCGAGCCCTAGAATCACATCACGATCTCGTAAAACGACAAGGGAAGAGTGAACAAATGGAGATGGTGGAGAAGATCGGAGACGATTGCATAATGGAGGCGGTGATGTAGACGTCACTCTTCATTGATCTCCATAGTTGAACAGATTATGATTTCTGCTATCGACGTAGGAAGAAAAGGGGGAAAGAAATCAAGAACATAAAAAAAACCCTAGTATTCTATGTTAGGTATGAATCATGTAATTTAAAGTCTCGATTTAAATCTGATTTTTGGAAAATAATTAATATTATATATGTAATTAACATGATTTTAGGAGAATATTTGTGGACCTACCTATATATATAAAATTACCAAACTAACCTTTTTTATTTAATTAATAGTTTAAGTTTTTCTAAATTCTAATTGGTCCCTACGTCCACATAATAAATGTTCATCTACATATAAACCTACCTATATATATATATATATATATATATATATATATATATATATATATATATATATATATATATATAATATATATATCTATATATCTATATGGGAAAAGTGAATATGTGGCTGTCATGTATGTAATATTAGGTATAGAACCATCAAAATTGACTTCATTTTGATTAAAAATCACATTTTTTTTTCATTGTTAGCTTCTTCCTATTGCTTTTAAGCTCATATAAATTATTGATTTCATAATTTATCCCCAACATCTATGTATTTCGAATGTGTTGTTTATATTAGACCTCCAGTAGGCTTCATAACTTTCTTTGACACCTACCATATGTAATACTTGCATGATTCTTTTTTGATGTGTTATGGGAAGAAGTTTATTGGGTTTTTAATGAACAATTTCAATCTTTCACTATAGTTTTCTATATTAAATTTGAATATGAAGACTTATCGGTAGTTGATAATGTATTCTTATACATGGTTTGTGGTGCAAAATTAAATATTTAAAACTTCATAAAAATAGTACAAAGCCTATCATCTAGTCTAATAGAGGATATAAGAAAGATGGTAGAGAGATTTGATTGCATTTTTGTAAATCAATGTAGTTTTTGATGGTTCTATACCTAATATTAGATACATAACAGCCACATATTCCCTAAGCCCTATATATATAATATATATATATATATCATATATATATATATAATATACTATATATATATATATCTATACTCTAGATAGTGTGAGGTTCAATAGATAACCATAATTAAAAAGAAACCAATGAACTAATCGTGAGCGTCGGAAATCATAATGATCAACGACCAAGGAAATAAATGTACACTTGTATATTAGACGCACACACACCGGATTATACCAAAAAATCCACATCCTTTCCAAAAAACTCACCTTTTTTTTTCGTTTAAAATTTTTTTAGGCCACATTTTTTATCGAAAAAAAAACAAATATACCATTGTTCTCGATTTTTCGTCCTCTTTCCATAGAGATCCGTGTTGATATATAAAAAACGAATTTTTTTTTCGAAAACAATTCACTTCATTTTGTTAGTTTTTTTCAATATTTAAGTTTATTTTTATCAAAAAAAATTAATTATACCAAAAATATTAATTTTGTGTAGTCTATTAATAAACATCGACACCGACTATAAAAAAAACCTTGATCATTGTAGATTCACACTGTAAATATTTAAATTTTTAACATTCATAATGTGAAAAACCTCGATCAGTTCAGATTCACATTCTGAATTTGAATTACTATTATGCACACTGTGAATCTGAGAAGGTTCACAATGTGACTCTGAATAGGTTCACAATATGAATCTGAACAGATTCACAATGTGAATCTGAACTGAAATAGCATTTTTTTAACATGAATATGAATCTATGTTTAAAAAGTACCAAAAAGTATGAATTTTGATATATTTATTAATTATTTTTCTATAAAAAAATAGACTTTAACTTTTCAACAAAGAAAATGAAGTGAGTTTTTTTCGAAAAAAAAAGTTCGTTTTTAATATATCATCATGGATCTCTATGGAAAGAGGACGAAAAATTGTGGACAATGGTATATTCAGTTTTTTTTCGATAAAAAACATGGCCTAAAAGAATTTTTAAACGAAAAAAATGAATTGGTTTTGTTATAATCTGTTGCATGTGCGTCCATTGTAAAAGTCTACAACACTTCCTTTTGCCATTGATCGTTTTAAATTTCGACGTTTTGGATTGGTTCCTTGGTTCCTTGATTAATAATGGTTCTCTATTGACCCATGGTTCTCTAATAACCACTTGGGTTGTGGTGACTTGGTAAGGCATGTGGAAGATATGGTGGATAACCTATTGACCCATGTTCAAATCCTGACACTACTCAGCCCTTGTGTCCATGGAGGTTTGCCTGCAGTGACTCCAGGGCATGAGGCAAAGCCTCATGTTTGCAGCGGGGGATTAGTCGGTGCACGAAAGCTGGCCCGGAAACCCTCGTTAGGGAAGTTCCCTTTCCAAAAAAAAATAATGGTTCTCTATTGAATTTTTTTCACATATATATATATATATATATATATATATATATATATATATATATAAGAGAGAGAGAGAGAGAGAGAGAGAACTAGGTTTATTTGTTTAAACTAAGTATTGTGTTATCGTATGCATAAATGTTGGTCAATAATTAAATAAATAGATAAATAAATAAGGATAATTTAGTTATTTGTTTAATAACTTCTAAAAATAATCGCTATAATCTTCCTAGCCTTCACTCTTAACCTAATTTATTTTCTTATATTCAGCCCGTCGATGACCTGAAACAAAAAGAAGGGCAGCCTTATCGACCTTGTACATCGATGAAACTATCACTCCCTCACTGCTTTCTTTTTCTCTCTCGTCTATGAAATTAACGAAGAAGAAGCCTATGGTCGACGACTTTTTGTCGGCGATTGCAGCCCTCTTTGCCTCCTACAGATCGTGTAGCACCACCACTCCACCATCGACTGTAGCTATTGTTGCTCCGTTGGTTTGCTTCTGACCAACGACAGGAAAGGAACCCAAAAGGGTCGCCGGAAAAATCTTTCGAGATATAAGCCCAGGTGTATGAAAATTGGGCTTTGGCCACTCCTGCCCAATCGGAATGACGTGAATTGAAGTATCGAACCCCAAATCGGCAAATCCCAATCCTCATCTTCAGTCAATCCGTTGAATCGGTTCTTCATTGGTCGATGTTCTAGTTGTCGGACGCCTCACGGCCTCAGTGCATCACGCCTCACTGTCCGCTCCGCCTCCGGCCTCCACAGACCACCGCAGTCCGCAGACGCAGCACGCCATCACAGTAGGCGACAGCAGCTAGCAGACTTTCAAATTCCAATTTTCAGTCTTCTCTTAATCTCTTCTGTAAGTTCTATTCTTCCTTCGTGTAATCTGGAAGAAAAATCAGATAGTCAACTAGTCAAGAACTTAGAATCTCAAACAAATGAAACAATGTTATATGTTCCTTCGTGTAATCTTGTTCTGTTGTTCACTGTTCAGTCTCCATTTGCAAATTTGGTTAATTGATTGTTGTGGCCTTGTGGGAATTTCACAGTTCACACAGTTAAATGATTTCACACACTGTTGTTCCTCCAATTGCTTCTTGTTTGTCCAAAACTCCAAATAAGCTAAGATTGTTGATTTGTTCCTCTAATTGCTTGTTGTTTGTCTTAAATGAGTTGAGATTGTTAATTGATTTGAATTGTTCCTCCATTTTATTGTTGTTGGAATTTAGGAATCAAGAAATTAGAATCTCAAACAATGTTATATGTTTTCTTTTGCAGAAATTAAAGTTAATTGGTAGATTTTGGTGTTTAATTGTTAAAAAATTTGGTTTTTTTATATGTAAGAATTGTAAATTTAGGTATTTTGGTGTTTAAATGCTGAAAAAAATTGATTTTTTTGAGTAATAACGTTTATTTTAGATTTTTTTACTTTCGGCCCCCTAGTTATATGTTCAAGCTCCGTCACTGCTTGTGTGTAATGTTGTTTCAAAAACGTGGTTTTAGTATGCTTCCTGTCTTATATTAGTGTGATTTAATTTTTGATGTGGCGTTAGCTCTTATTTCTTTTCAAATAGATTATGCTTTTGATTTCTATTCTGATTTATGAAACAGAGTCAAAATGGTCATTGGATAGAAAACAATGGGTGTTTGGATTGGGTGTTTGACAGGGAAGGAAAGGAAATGAAAAGCAGTTTTTTGGCTAATATACATATCAGAATGAGCAGTTTTTTGGCTAATATCTATTGGAATGGAATCAAGAATTCCAATTCTGTTGGAATGGAATGACGAATTCCAATTCTGTTGGAATCACAGAAGTTGATGCTTGAAGAACGGACCACAAAATTGAAACGGACCTCATTATTCTTTTAGAATGTATTAGTCGTTGTTAGATTTTGATGTAATTATTAACAATTGTTAGCCGTATTCTATAAGAAATAATGTATTTGTTGTTTTTATTCTTCAATTGATTGTTCAAGAATTTGTTATTCTACAAGAAATTTTTAAATTCATGATTGTTCAAGAATTTTTGAATATACTCATAAACATTTAGGTCAGAATGTCCGAATTAAAGGATTATATTCGTAAAATCGGATTTTTAAATTAATAGATCTATGATCCCTTAAAAAAATGCAATTTTCCTTTATTAAATCTATATTAATTGACAAATTACCCTTGTAATTAATTAAGAAGATTTTTCAATTATATCAATTCAATAATATATTTAATCATTTTCTTAAAATAAGTAAATTTGATTGGCCTATATTTATAAATACAATAACACAATAATTATTTTTAAAAAAATAACCTAAGTCTATATATATATATATATATATATATATATTGTTTTGAAAAGACAAAACATAAAGTGGTCAGTCAAAACATCTTCGTGATAATCACATAATTTTATTCAATTCATGTAAGAACTTGATTTCACCCAAAAAAATATTTGTTCGTGGTGATAATCACAAGAGTTTACAAATATTTAATATAGTTTAGGTAAGAAATAAGAACTCTTCTATCCAGAAAAAAATATCAAGGACAATCTTTTAGATCATATTGACCAACATAGTATTATCAAACCCGCGCATTGGATATGTTGTCCAATAATGAAAATGAAGGGAAACGTCATCAATAAGTATTCCAGATCTTCAACCACCATAGAATGGCCGACAATCAACCACAACTATAATGAATGAAAGTGGTCTTGTAAAAGGGAAAGGAAGAAGAAGACAATGCAATTTCCTCAAAATACTTGTAAAGCCAAGAAGGTCAATGTCAATTCTAAAGGAGATGAGGAAGACGTCGTTTGAAATATAGGAGAAGATTGGTTTGTTGATGGAGGATTTTTTTTGCAACTGGCTTCAATGAAACTCAGATGAAACTCTGTACCTCCCTTAATTCCAACCCTCTTGCTCCAATCTGGCTTTAATGAAGCATTAACGGAGCTGTGATCTGGATGTTTTCCAGCCAGGTGGTGGAAGGAGTGTGGTGGGTCATCAGAGAAGATGCAAGTGATAGTAGTAGAGATGAAAGGGCTTGGTGGTGGTGAAATTAGGAAGGGGGATGGGGAAGAAATGTGTAACGCTTGGTTTAGGTATGAGATGATTCTTCAAATTGTTTGTATTTTCCTTTAGGACTCGGCGAGTTGGAAGCCCCAACTCAGCGTGTCGAGAGGGCGTTAGCCGAGGAAGTCAATGAACCAACTCGGCGAGTTGGCGGCTAGGAAGGAAACCCTAATTTTTAGGGTGTTGCACCCTATTTAAAGGACTTAAGTCCCTTGGATGGCCTCATTACCATCCTCCTCTATCCAGAAAACCCTAATAGTGTGCATCATCTTATTTTGTGAGTGTGAGAGCTTGTAGAGGTTCTTGAGTGTTGATCTTTTGTGCCCTTTTGAAGAAGCTTTGAAGTTGGAGGTGTAAAGCTTGGAGGGAAGACTTAGATCTAGAATCTCCAAACTTGTTACAGTCTCTTGGAGGTATCAAGTTTATACCTTGCTTTGTTATCATCTATATCTCTTTGTTTGGAGTTTTATCTTGATTTTGGGCTCATAGGTGGATTGTCCAAGAAGTTGTGTGTTCCGGGGGTTGTTATGTTAGATCTGACCATTTTATGGCCCATTTGGACTTAAAGTTGCAAGCTTTACTAAGTTCTAGGTCCCATTCATGTAATAAGTTCCTTTTTAGCCCATCTTGATCCCTAGGGTTTCTTTTTAGCATGCATGGACGTAATGTTGGAAACTTTACGTGATATTCCAGCCTTTGGATGCCAGATATGTATTTTGGGACTATGTTTTGAGAGTTTAAGGGCTTAATGGGTCAAGCCTCACTCTAATGAGTCTAGGGTTTGGGTTTGACTCACTTTGGATGTTTCCTACGGGTAAAGTTGGAAACTTTACCCTTCTAGACATCATTTCGGAGGAGATCTGAGATTTGGAGTTCCTCGATTCGAGGGAAACAGCTTAATGCATTAAGCTGTTGGATTTCTGGCTAACTCGACGGGTTTATTAGTGAACTCGGCGAGTTGATGAGAGTTTTCCCGATCTGTGCAGTTAATGGAGAAACTCGACGAGTCGAAGGACAACTCGGCGAGTTGGGTCAACTCAGACCGTTGACTTTGACCTTTGACTTTAGTCTTTGACCAAGTTTGACTTATAAGGGGTTTTAGGGCATTTTGAGTTGTATTTAAGGAATTATTTCTGTTTAAGGGTTGAGTAAAGCGGATATTCGGAGCTGGGACCTAGTCAGCTATCGTTCAGTATTCATTGTGAGTCTTCTCACTACACTCATGGGTCGAAGGCACTAAGGCCGGCCCATTAATTTCTATGTGATAATTTCTATTGGAATATGAAATTGTGTGCTAATGATCTATATATGGACTTATGTGTAGACCATGGGAGGAGCCCATGGCATTCCATTGAAGACTATGGAGGGAGTCCATGACAAACTTATATGTATGTTTGCATGGTATTATGTGATTTTATGTTTGCGTGTTTGGGAAACTCACTAAGCATGTGCTTAGAGTTTTGTTGGATGTTTCTGTTGGAGAAGGTGTCTAAGTCCATAACTTATTTGGTATATACTTGACCCGACCCGGCATGGTCCATTTGGGTTGCACTTCACCCAAACTGTTTATGGATAATTTTATGAGAATTGTATACTTACGATTTATTAATATATTATAAGTTATAATACATTAATATAAAGTCATGTTATTTAATTAGTTTTAATCTTGAATTAATTATGAATTAATTCAGTGATTAAAAGGAAGACTAATTAAATCATGGGCTATTATATTTATATGGTGTGGGCTAATACTCATTTGTTAATGGGCTAAGCTTATATGGAAGTCCATGGATGATCCATGGAGCTTTTAACCCATGGATCCTTGGAAAGGAAAAGACATGGGTTATTAGGGTTTCACCCTAACCATGCACACTATATAAACAAGCTCATGTTGCATGAAATAACACCCTAGTGTGTGTGTAATAGTGGTGGCCGATTTCTAAGTGTTAGTATACTCTTTTCATACATTTTCCAAGTTTGTGGTGATTTGTGATTTCCATTTGAGGCATTCACATTATTGGTGCTTGGCTCTCAAACTCCAAGGAATCAACAATCAACAAAAGGTATGTAATTCATCTAGTCCTTTTATGTTTAAAAGTACCCCATGCCATGCTAGATAGGTTATAAACCTTGGAAAATAATTTTTTGCATGTACCTTAGACAAACATAGATCCAAGGTTTATTAGGGTTGCATGTACACTTAGGAAGTGTTAGAATGCTCAAAACCCAACAGTGGTAACAAAGCCAGGTTTGTTTGTTTTATACTTGATGCAAAATAGTGATAAAAAGTCGTTTTTTTTGCTGTCTGACTGATGAACTCGTCGAGTCCATGGGGGGACTCGCCGAGTTCATGTGTAAACTCATCCTACTCGCCGAGTAGGTTCGTGCACTCGGCGAGTAGGAGCCTCAGAATGCAGATTTTCGACTTTTGCTGCTGGAAATGGACTAGAAACATTACCCTAAACTGTTTTGGTGTTTTAAAACTTGTTTTAGTTGGTGTAATGGTAGTTCTAATCCATTTACAATAGCTTATATCAAAATTTCATGCTTTGTATGTGTTCATATAATTCTTGAAACTTTGATGATCATGTTCATGTTCTTATGAATTTAGAAGATGATAGGAATTATTTGCTGAATTGTTTAGGATTAATTCTTGATCATTTATGTGTTTTAATGGAGTCCATAATTTGTCCTCAAGTTATGGATATCCAAAGGTCACTTCTTTTAAACACACACTTAAAACACATAAGTTACATAAAATGAAGAGTCTTCATTTTTATGAACCTTTAATTCATAAGTTATGAAATGAAAAGTTTTGGATAGTTACAAAACTTGCCCTCAAGTTTTGGAATTTGTAAAGTTACACACACTTTAATATACTTTAATTCCAACCCTTAGAGTTTTAAAAGTTAAAATTCAACCCTTATACTATTTATAACATTAATGGTTAATTATTATATATATGTATAAGATCAAGTCGTTTTACCGTTAGTAGGCCTCATTCACGAAGCCGGTCTATAAGGGGGGTATAAGGTTGTTGCCTATAAAATGGCAACTTAATGGGTGTCCATTCTCACCCACCGCTTCCTTGATCGGTGGAGGGTCGTTAGCCGAACGGGTAGGACAATGACTTTAAATTCTCATTAAAAGTATAATGAATATTATAAAGTAACTAAACCTTTTATAAATTCCCAATCTTAGTTACTTTAGGAAAATGTGAATATGGTGCTAACCCATGAAATTCACACTTTGTACCTTACCAAGTCGTTGGTGGAGCGTGTGTGGTTAACCGGCACACTAACTTGGACTAGTAAGGATCACGAAGGGTGACTTAATGTTTATCATAGATCGGTGGAGCGTGTGTGGTTAACCGGCACATCGATTAGGTGATAATATTAAGGGTACCAAGTGAGTTTGCATGGTTATTCACACCTTGTTTTGTGATCCTCGGCATCCCAGTCACAAAACCTGAAGGGCACAATCGAGATTGAAACATGCCATTGAAAAGTTCAATGAATCTCAAAAGATCTAGGAGTTTCAAATCCAATTAAAACCTAATAAATTATTTCGTTTTTTATGGTGGAAATTGGTGAATCGTCATTTCACCTACCTTCAAATATTTTATAGCTTGGATTACGGCATCCCTCTTCCAAGTTATAAAATATTGTGTTGGGTCCTAGCCTTAATATTTCATATTGGGTGTTATATTAAGGACTTGAATCAACTAACTTGATTTTCCCCCATTGTAGATGTCTGGTTCAGACAACTATGATCTTCCCAAATCGCTTAAAACAAGCTTTCCTCTTGAAGATGATGTCCCTCAACATCATGCTTCACTCCCCCCACCTCCTCCATTTATTCTCCCTGACCCACAAGCCCAAAGACTTGAAAGGTTCAA